CGTCGCCAACAGCGACGCACCAGCCAGCACGTTCGCCGCTATCGCCATCCCGCCCATTCAGTCTCAACGTCTCTCCTCCCCTCCTGCGCGGGCGAGGACCCACATCCATTGGTTCCAGCCATTCGTCTCCCGCTCGCGCCCAGCCCAATAGACGCACGCCTCGGCCCATCGCTCCATTTCGTTCACGAGCAGCAGACCCTGCGAACGGAATATCGCACCCCGTTATGTGTCCGCGGTATCTAGGTTCATCATCGACCTTGGAAGCTGCTCTTGTCTTCCAATCGGACGCCTATTACCCGAGAGATGCTCCAATTTTCGTTCGGGTGCAGGCACAAGCCCGGCGAATCTGAAAGATATTGGAAAAGTGCGTAGGAGGCTGGGCTTCGAGACACGGAAGCAGACGGCGGCGGGCGGACCATGGTCATGAATCGACTGGTGACCACCTCTTCTGACGGGCTCGCTCCCGTCGCGCGGTGATTATCTTCCTGCATTGGACCTTGGGTGGAAGATCCCGCTGGGTTTCCTCAGTCGTGGAGAAGCCGGCTCCGCCTCGCCTATGTCTCGTCTCTTTCTCTTTGCTCTCATGTGCCTGACTCAGTTATGCCTGCTCTCGGACTTTCGTTCAACATCGTTGGCCTTACACCTCTGCTCGCTCACTCGTCACAAATCCAAGCATTTTTCCTCGTTATCTCCATTTGGTGATATTATATTTTCGACATCCGGCAACGGCCTACTCTCTATTGTCTGCTATGCTACGATGGAGCGCAACTCAGCAATGTCGGCCTCCAGCATACCATTCCATTTTCAAACACCCCCTGCTGGTCTAAACAGCGCTCAGCTAGGATTTCCCTGCGGCACACCGGAGGTCGACCGGTATATCGATAACCAAATATATTATGAATGTGAACGACCACCAGATTGTCCTGTCCCCTTCCTCATTGCTCTATCCCGCGACTCCTCATGGCATCATTGTTCTGTTATTGATATTGTACAGGACGATCTTGCCTCACGAGTGGCCAGATTCCAGCAGGCGTATTTCCAAAAGGTCGACACAATCGTTATTAGCTGGCTTCTTTCTACGCCGCCATGCAAAATAGCACGACTTTCCGGACTGTTATCTCTACTCGTCTGTGGAGCGTCCTTGGAGTGTGCACATTGTATCCGATGAAGACACTATTCTATGTGTCATGGTGGCACATTGGCGGAGTCTTTTACATCTCAAGAGGCAGTCTTCATATGACTGTGTTTGTTAAGACACTCACCCTTCAGGGTCCACGGGCCCCTTGTGTACAGAGGATATATCCCGTCTGAAGCATGCGGATGTGTCACAGACCATTGAGTATCACACGATGCGTTATTCTCCGCCGACGAGGAGTGTTATCCGATCGATTGAAGTGCATAGCGGACGGAACGATGAAAGAAGCGCGGATTGCAGGCCTCACGGGTGAACGGTGAGGCAAATTCTACAGGCTGCCTTTCACAATCGGTATAGACACGTCTCTAAGTTACTGACCGGTCTGCAATGCGAACATCATCTCCGGTAGGCTCAGCCATTGCACTGCTATCATGAATTGGCCCAATTTATTTTAGCGAATGAGTTAGGTGTATTACCTAAGCCGATGGCATGTGATGGGCGAGTATGGACGAAACTCAGAAGTCTACCATTCGCTATTCGTGTCCATGGCTAGGTGAAGTATGTATAATTCCTCAGCTATGGCGAAGAGCCTCTGACGACTGTGTCATTTGTCAAGCCAACTCACACTTTCGTGGACTCTCTGGCCGGTGTGCACACGTTCAGGGTACGCCGGTTCCTGTTCATTCGATATAGTTCTCACCGCGCAGATCCCCCATAGCGGGCTTTGTTCACAGGTTCACGATGGAAGTTACACGCACTTCTCGATGTGAGGCGTTTATGTAGTTGGCATCCTGTGAGTGCTCTATGTGCCGAGCCGGTGTGGTGTTCTCGCTGCCTCTGACAAATACGCCTTCTGTGTCCATGGACGTTTGCGCGGTGCCCGAACATCACATGGTTAAGCAGGATTTGATGATATATGTTTGCAGTTGAGTTCTACATATTCACTTTTGCGATGCATTGCAAATCAATCTTGCGCGCCTTATCTGTCTTGCGGAGGACGAAGTTCCATGCCGCTCATGCTCCCTGCCCGAGCCAGCTTACGGGATTCTGGCTCGAGTGGGCAGTGGTCTGCCCATTCTTTTCTCGATGACTGTCCCGCTGCATCTGTCACGTTTGTCAAAGAAGAGGCATATACTAGGCAGCTAACATGGGAGCTAATAGATGCTACCCAGCCAGGCAAAGAGAACCCCATATCTCGAAATGCAAGCTTACTTCGAGCTATTGGAGGAAGTAACCTATCTATCGCCTTCTGGTTTCTGATCGGGGTTGCATGGACCAGCACTACATTTGACTCGCAGGTCCGGTATGCCCCCTTCTCTCATGTCCACTTGCCGCCGTATATCTACCTTGCCATTTTCATCTGCCTTCGTCATCTCGCATTCTATTCCCAGCATGTGCTACTACCTGTTCGCTTACACCGAGTACCGCTGCGGCCATCAACTCCTTGATCGCCGCCACATGGTGCGGATGGCCTGTGTATCGCGCATATATTATCTCGTGACTGAGTGGAATATCGTGTGTAGATAGACTGCAATCGCGTGACATGTCGGAGGAGCAGGCTCCACAATGCGGATGCGCACGACTGCGCGAACGAGTGTACGGAGAGATTGTGTGTAGGAAGTGCTGACGGTCCCCCGTTGATGTTCTAACGCGCGCTGTAGGACGCTCCCTAACCAGTCACTTGTCATGCATCAACACCCGGAACAATGCAGCAACTGTCTAGGCACGGCTGGAGCTACGGCCAATGGCGCCAATCATTACGGCTCTGGTGACGGCGAGTCTGATTCAGGCGAGGAAGAGGAAGAGGAAGAGGAGTAGAGGTCGGAGGGGAGCTGCCCGAATTGCCATTGCGTATTGGCTGCAAAACATGCAGTTGTACTTTTACCCCAGCGTTGAACATACGCGTACAGTTAACTCGTGAATATTTTTCTGGAGCTGCGCTTCTCTCAGTCCGATCCTATTTCGCGGCACAGGACCGTATGGCAGTTCCACCGCAGACTGTATGCTGGAGCAGTCGTAAGCCTTCAGTGTCCCTCCGTAGCCGCAATCGCTTCGTTTAACCGACAATGATTTCATGTGCAGCCAGTTTTCGTGCAGAACATTGCTGGATGCACGCTGGGCATTGACTGACATTGGCGTCAAGAGATCAGCTTCTGTTCTGTATGGAATGCGCCGTAGCATACATGGAAATGCATTCACCTATCTCACTCTTACCTGAGAGCATCTATGATACCGGAGAAGCGACTGGATTGAAAGCCCAAAGGAAATAGGCCACATGCTGCTGGATGAGACTGATACTGTAGCCAGGAATACACCAGGCCTGCCTCGCCAACATGGCGACCAGCCGGAACCGATAGACGTCCGGGTACTATGGGAGCGCGCTGTCACTGCCCACCCGTCGCCACATGGGACGCCGCGTACGCATTGGCGGTCGCAAAATATGTACAGAGCTCCTGCGCAAACTGCGAACCTGGAAGAAGAGCTTTACCTGTGGTACGTTGAGCTGATCCTGCCCGATACAGCCGTAATGAATCTGATGTTTCTTGCATCGTTACCTCTGCACTCACATTGCGCCGCCAGTGATCTTTCCTCCACGTATCTCGCGCACCGTGTCGGTTGTCCTTGTGATCATTGTGACGTTGGAGTTGCACAAGACATTCAGTGCAGCTCGAATCGCTCATCAAGCCAGCATGCATGGCTCTACCGCAGTGTTCCTGCTAAAGAATGGTGCGCACGTGGATTAGTGGTCGCCTGTAGCTGACGACTCTAAATTTGAATGTCGTAAAAAGCAACCCACTGCTTCTCGTAAGTGGGTAACCATCGTCTGACTACTTGGTATTAGGAGGCTACTCGCCTTGAATATCCTTGACATCGTTCTCTGGACTAAACGGAGCCACCTAGAGAAGATACATGTGCCTTCCTGACAGATATCATCATGAGTAGCTTCATCACTTACGTGTTGATACTTCCAGATGTCAGGAGTACGTACCGCATTCATCGGATTTTATCCATCGTGGCGTAAGTAAACATCGGACTCTTATGGGCAAATTGGGGGGGGGGGGGGGGGGGGGGGGGTAAGTTCTAATTCATCTCTAGTATCACTTCATCGATGATGATGACTCGCTTCATTCTGGACCTGCGCGAAATGTCACGAAGGTGTGGTGTATCGCCCTCGGATTGCAACTTGGGTGCCCAAACGGCCATGCGAGACTCAGCCGCTGGCGGCGAACCGCTGTCTCGACTGGTGGGAGATCTCGGCGCCGACTATCAGCAGAGTACGGAAGGAAAAGTCGAGGACCAGGCTGAGTGCCCTCATGAGACAGTCGTGTGAGTGGAGCCTCCCATAGCATGTCTGTTAATACGCTCTCCACGCTCGCAAGCACAGCTCACAAAGCAGATACCATTACGAAGCCTTCAATGCCTAATATTTCATCGCCGATTGCGATTGCAGATGCTCGATTTTATTCGGAAACGTGATGGCGGTATCCTGCATATCACGGAGAATATTACGCCGCGTATGCCACATGGACACATCTCAGCATAGTCGGATAAAGACAACCCTCGATTATCCTGCACGCTCGACGCGCACATAGGTAGTAAGTAAGACCGCCGTCAGCAACACAGCGCGTACACGATCCAGGTGTAATCCACAACAGATACGAGGAAATGCAGCAATGTCCAATGGGCATAGTATGAATGAGAGTGAGAGTTTGAGTTGAGTTGGTGAAATGCATGGAGACAAAAGAGCGAAAATGAAGTGCAGACAAAAGATATCATCTGATGATGTGAGGCACTGAGCCGCAACTCGTTATTTCTCCCATTGCGCCGGCGTACTCCATCGCCGATCTTGCCAATCCCGGAAGATCTCCGCGACCTCCTCGTCGCCATTATATACATCGTCGTTGATGCACAGCAGCGTCAGCTGCTCATTCTCGTCCACCCGCCCCAACATCTCGCGTGCTTGGCCCGGGTCGTACAGACGCTCGAACATCGCTGGCGAGCTCCCTGAAGCATATGCGCGTCATCCGCGACGTCAATTATTTGAACATTATAGTGAGACGATAAAGCCACGCACCGATGACATATCGATACCGCTCGAGCAGCTTTTCTGTCCATGCACGCACATTGCGCTCTCCGCCCACCTGCATGGCGTCGCGCAGTGCGAAGGCGCCGTCCTCCCAGCGCTCGACCAGCGGCAGGTACGAGATCTCCGCGGCATCTTCAGATGCAGGCAGCTTTCCTGCGAGTGAAGCAAACGTGCGATCGGGGTCGGGCAGGAACACCGAGATGCCTAAGCGGCCGCTTGCGCGCACGAGCGCGGAGATCACTGATGATATAGACGGGATGTAAGCGGGATTATGAACAGTAACAAGGGCTTGCTGACGCACCGCAGTCGCCACACCGTGGATGCCGGAACGCGATGTTCTTGAAGACCTCGCTCGCACGTGTATGCCCTGCAAAGCACTCATCGTAACTGATGACACACTGCGGTAGTGACCCCTCATTCACATCCGGAGTGAGCCTCGGTGGATCACCACCTGTGCCGTATGCATATCCATCCAAAGAAGCTGAGCGGGCGAAGCTTTCATGTCAGCAATCACCCGAAAAGGCGCATACATTGAGTGAAAAGAACGTTATAACTCACAGAATCGGTAGGAGGTTCTCCCCAGCGTGCCCACCCCGCTTGAACGCAACGTATCTTCCACCCTCTCCCTTACCAACGTTTCCCTATGCCCACTCCTCACAGCGATCTCCCGTCCAATCGGGCCTTCTCCATCCCACGCACCCCCGAGCTCCTCCCACGCCCTCCGCGCCTCAGGCACGCCCCAGTCATCCTCCATCCCGCCGACCCTCCCCACGACCCATGCCCACAGCATCGCCTCCCTTGCGCGCTCCACGATGAAGTGCCCGTGGAGGAACATGGTATTGATGTCGACAGGCATGCCCGGACCAGCAGTCTCACGAAATAGATGCGACGCGCTCCGCGCAAAGGCAGATGTCCAGATGGCATTGGCCTCGAGGAGCAAGGCGCGTGAGACAATTTTGGCTTGGTGCATGACGTATGGGCGATGTCGCGCCCCGAACCGCTGGCCTGGAGAGAAGGTGTGAGGTAGGCAAGGATCGACACGAATGGTGGACGCACTGAGCATATAGTTGGTCTCGCCCATACCGCGCCACTCGCCCTCGGTTTCCTCGGTCGGACGCGTGGGCGGTATCCGCAAACCTGTGTCTAGGTGAAGCACAATGCCGTACGCTGCGCATGGGGACGTCAAGCAGGACTACAACGCCGAAGACAAGAGACGGGCGTACCAGACGTGAAGAACGTCGCAGGGGTGACGTCCGTGGCGAGGTAGTTGTCATCGTTCTGTCAGCATGCAGCGTTAGCATTAGAGAGCGCACAGACACCGCGGACGCACCATGTATATACTGCATGGATCAAAAGACCGTATGGATCAGTGCATGCACGGGGGAAAACAAGAGGGCATCTTGCACTCACAAATAGTCCGCGACACCCGCCACGTGGCCCAGCTGCGTCTCGATCGCCAGACTTCAACGCAAAGTCAATCTAAGCAGCACATCTCCCCGCCCGCAAAAATGGCGCACCTATTGAAATTCGTGCCCTGGTAATCTTCAAATATCTCTGCGTGATGCGCGATCTGCAGCGTCACGTCCCCGTCTCGCCACCCTGTGCGCATCTCCTTCGTCAGGTCGAGCCATTGTGGGATCTGGCCGAGGCGCCAGGAAGGAGGGAGCGCGATCGCAGGGAGGGAGAAATCGGAGGTGAGCAGGATGACCTTGCGGACATAGGGTCGGAAGTAGGTAAGAACGGAGCGCAGTGAATGCCGGAGCTCGTCATGGTCACTGTCGGCAGGATTGAGCTGACGCATGAGACATAGTGGTACTACTCACCGGTACAAGCGTTCCTCTCTACCAGTATCCGACGGCCGGAAAGGATCATCAGAACTGAACTGCGCTTCCGCGTGTTTCTTTGCTTGGTGCAGAAGCGGGTCGGAGCCGTTCACCCACGTCCAGAGGAAGTCGAACTTGGGTGTTTCAGGAGCATAGCAGGGCGCGCCACTGGCAAAGTACTCATCACGACATGAGTCTGGAAGCGCGTGCGCCGGCTGCAGCGATGTGTATGGAGGTTTCGGTTCCGAGAAGACCTATAATAGGCCGTGAGCAGATGTGTCGTCAGGTCGCGTGCCGCAGCCACAACACAACAGCTGCGGTCGCATACAATGAACGCGAAGTACCTGGAATGGGAGGTAGGAGATGTTCAGTTCGAACAGGTCGTCGTAGTCAAGGTCGTCGTCATCATAGTCTGCAAAATAGCGGTGGAGGACGGCAAGGAGAGAAATTAGCGCGGCGGTGAAGAGAGCACCGAGCACGAGCCGGCGGCGGAGGCGCGGTGCAGACGTATGGTCAGCGGCCGCTGCTGGACCGCCGCTGAAGGGGAACTGGGAAAGCGGGAAATAGTCATAGTGTGGACGCGTAGGAAGGAAGCGGAATCTCATCGCATGGGTGAGGAAAGAAAGAAGACAGACAATACATCGGGGTGCACATACTTGAGGTAAGCGACAGTTGAGCTTGGACACAAGTTGTGGGGCCGGCAGAACCGCAGCAGGCACGACTCTCGCGCTCATACACGCTCGTTATCAGATACAGAAATATGTGGAACTGGCGCCTTGCGCATCTCATTCAATAGCCCATCTGTGTGCAATGTTCCGAACACTCGTGTCGCTACATGCATCGCCGAACGCCTGTGCGCCGCTATCGAAATGTGCGCGACTGATTTCCGCTCTTCGGCTGGCTCAGAGCCTTCGGGGGCGCCGGGAACTCGCCGTATTGGTATCCTGCCGCACCTGCCATCCAACCATCGCATTTCACCCCACATCGCAACCATACTGCGGTCAGCAAGCAGATCTAGCCCAAAGGGAGCGCAGCGTTTACCTTTCATCTGGCGTGCTTTCTTTTTCTGCTTTTTCGTGCCGGCCTCTTCGGCCGCATCGCCATCAAAGCCCTCATCCAATATGTTTGACGCGGTGCTGTAGTCAAACGACTCCACCTCGATCGCGGCAGTTCTCGGCGGAGCTCGCTTGCGCTTCTTCGCTCGCGCCTGGCCCACGACCACAATCGTGTCGTCCACGGTTTCCATCTTGGCACTTGTGCGCTGGGCCGCAGGTATAAACGGAATTTCCGCCTGGCCTTCAATTTGCGCAGATCCAGCTGCTTCCTCAACAGCCTCTACCATTTCGGCACCGGCTTTGCTCGGTATGGCGGCAAGCTTGGGCATTGTTGGCGCGATGACCAGCGTGCCGTGAATGCGTGCCACTACTTCTTGGAAGCGGCTCCCTCTTGCCGTTTCTGACGTTCGCTACAGTCCCCCAATCGCCACTGTTAGCGCCTGGGGCACATCTGTGCGCAACCAAGACGAGATGGCTCACCGATATGGAGGTCACACGCTCATCGAAGAGCGCACTTCTCGTCGCGGAGTACGACACCCGCACCTCTTCTTTGACACTGTCCCTCCCGCTCGTCGGTGCGAGGGTCGCGCCGAACAGCGACGATGCCGATGCCGATGCGATGCTCGCCTTGTTCGTCGCTGCAGGTCGCACCTTGCGTGAGCCCTCGCCGCAACACCCAATAACAACGGACAGAATAAGCACTGACCATGGGACCAAAGCGACGGCGCCGCCTTCACACTTGGCGGGCTTGGCACCGCAGCATCATCGTCGGCAATCGACTGCGGCATCTCGGCAACTCTTGCAGTGCTGATGGCCGTGTTCTCGAGCGCCGAGATGCCGGAAGAAAATTCGGCATCGCCGGAAATGGCAGGTGGCGAACCCGATGTGGATGGGGCAAGCGCCGATGCGACGGCGGTGCGGATGGCACCGAGCAGCTCCTTTGCGCGCCGCTGGACGACGGGCGGTACCGAGCGCAATGTGCGGAGCAGAGCTGCCATGTCGGCCGGTGGTTGCTCGGCGAGCACAAACAAGTAATGGTTTGCGAGCACATAGCTGAAGTGCAGGTCAGTTTGGGTCACGCGAGTAGCTGGTCAACTCACCGAGTGCTCTCGTCCTCCACCCGCGCGACACGGTCTCGCCACGTGTGGACACAACGATAAACTGCGCGCTGCACGGCATACACGCTGTCCTTTACACCCTCGAGCTCGGCAGCAGCCATCAGCGCACCCTTGTTCCATTTGCGCGCGAGATTGTCCCAGCCGCCAGGCCCCGTGCCACCGGCGGCATCGTAACCTTCCTTCGCATATACTCGTAATGCTGTCGTTTCCGAGCGCGACAGTACTTCGCGAATGAGTGCTTGAGGGTCTGTTGTTGGGGCCCCGGATAGAGACGTCGACGCGGAAGGAGTCTCGGCACAAGACTGCGAGCTCGACAGGGACTGACCGCGGTCAAGTAGTGCATTGCGCAAGTTGTCAAAGATGAAGAGAAGGAAATGCGTATCCGATCGTGCGTACGCAAGCATTTCTTCCGGCAGTGGGCTGCAAAGCATTCGTATACGAGCGATTAGTCAAATCAACCAAATGCTGAAGAATAGTTTCGCACCGAATTCTCCAGTCGGCCAGTTGATACCGCTTGTCCGCAATAAAGTCGCAATACATCTCTAGCAAAGTGGCCAAGTTATGCCGGGGGAAATCTATCGTTCGGACGGGGCCTGTAAGTCATTGGAGGTCACAGGCCGATGAGAAGATCACGTACCCAGCACCTTCGAAGCATGATGGGTATCAAATAGATTCACGATGTATAAATTAAAGTCCTGTTGGAGCCAAACAATATCACTCTCCGCACCATGCAAGACCTGCGAAGCAAGATCAATGTCATTCCACATGGCACAGACATTTCTCCTTGCCTTCACAATTCGCGGGTCCGTGAACACTTCATTTAACGCTTCCATGTCGTCCCGCAGGGCGAGCGTGTCCACGACCCAGTCCGCCTCACGCGTACTGAGCTGCATCAGGCAAACAAATCCGCCGAACGTGCGATAGCTGTGATACTCGAGGTCGACCGCGATCTCGCGCGCGTCTCGCAGGCGCTCGAGCATGGCGGAGAAGTGCGCGGGTGTGTCGACCCACGTGAAGGGCGTCACATCGAAGGATGCAGGCGCGATAGGCTCCGCGGGAGCAAACATGTGCGAGGGATAAGGTGTGTGTGTGATCTCATAGCGATATGGATGCAAGCTGCGATTCGAGGGATGAGTAAGGGAGTTCAGGGGAGTGTGGACAGTGTACGCACGCGCTCGGCACGGAGAGCTCGTCCCCTTCGCCATCCATATCAACATCGATTGCATCGTTGAGATTGTATCCCAGGGGTACTTGCGCATGGTACTTGTGCTGCAGCGTCGGCTGCCATATCGTATGAGGACTGTTGTCGACTTTTCGGGCGAAGCGAAGCTGAGGCTTCGGTAGGTGCGAGGCATGCTGCAGTGCCGGGTCAAGTCGGCCTTTTGGTGGAATTTTTGCCTTTTTCTGCGCGATAGAAGGTGGCAGGGTTAACAATAGGACAAGAGATAGTCAGAGCAGGAGACCGGACACGTACCTTCTGCATAGTGGTCGGCGTGGGGTTCACGGCAATCGCAGGAGGCTTGGTGCGTCCCAGAACCTCATCCAGGCAAATATCCTGCAAGAAACATAACGGGAACGTATCAGACACGAGCTCCTGACGAGCAGCCCAACATGCAAGTAGAGCATTCCTTACTGCACGCTCCAGCAGCTGGTCCATCGGGTCTACGACCAGTGCGCGAAAATCATCAAGCACGTCCTCCGCGCTTTCCAAACGAGCTTTTCCCTTGCTTTTAGCATTGCTCCCGTGCACGGACGCAGCAAGGGCGAGGAGGCGGTTCGTGAGCGAGAGTACGCGTGCGGAGCAAGCGTCGAGCTCCCGTCCGAAGGCGCGGTCGATCGTGCGGTGAAAAGAGATGTCAGCAGGGAGCTGGGCACCGCGCTTCGTTGCGGTAAGTGCGACGGTTTGGAGGGAATTATTGTAGTCGTTGAAAGAGGCCGGAGTGAACGGGGAGGAGGATGAAGACTCGGCCATAGTGGGAGCGAACAAGATACGGGGCCTGTGAGCAACCAATTATATCGTTAAGCCCCAAGCTTCAAGGTCCCAGTCGCGCAGCCCAGAAGTGGTAGAACAAGTCCAAGAACAACGTCGAGCGAGTTCTGCAAGCCGACCACTTCAAACTCTGAGTTCAACGCCTAAATGCAAGTGATCGCAAAAGTTCAGTTCCAGAAGTAGCAGGCTGCTCCCACACCGCAAGCCCGAAGCATGCCCGGTTACTGCGTACCCGGGCCAGTGCCTGCCAGTCCCCGCTCTCCACCGTGGCGAACGACCACAAACATTTCATCTCTGCCTGCTGCACGGCTGCCAGTCAAGGCATGCTCGGCTGTGATGCTCTCGTCCTTATCACCTGAACAGACCTTCATCTTTTCTTTGGATTTTTGTTGAATTACTTAGAGTTTTGGAACGCTCAACTCGGACTCATGTCTCGCAGGAGCCCGCTGGTCTCTCCGCCTGCGACCCCTCCCCCGCGACTCGCGCAGCACTGGGATGAGGAGGATGACGAGACGGATGCGCCTACGCGCAAAAAGAGGTGGTATCACTACATGCCGCTGTTCTGTTAGTCTTCCCCGCTGTACACTCACGTCGGCTGCACGTCGCTCATCGCATTCGCAGTGGCGGTCGTCCTTATGCTACTCCCGCACCCGTCCCTCCTCATCGTCCTGGTCAACTACCACCTGCGCGTGCTCAACTCGCCGCTCCAGTTTCTCACTCATCTCACTGTCACATACACTCTGAGTTTCCTTGCATTCTCCTCGCTCATACTCATACTGGCGCGCGATCCTGGGCCCGTCTCGCTGGGAAAGGAGACGGAGACGGGTGCGACATCCGATGAGGAGGATGGGATGAGCTTCATGCAGGCGCTGCTGGCGCCCGATGAGCGCGAAACACAAGGCCATGGGCGGTGGTGTCGGAAATGCAACGCGCCGAAGCCGGAGCGGACGCACCATTGTAGTACGTGCGGAAGGTGCGTGCTGAAGATGGGTGAGTGTAATTGTAGAGTGGGATGGATGTCATGCTGAGCTGCCCGAAGACCATCATTGCTTGTGGCTTGGCGACCGGTGCATAGGCCACCGTACGTACTCCGCTTTCCTGCATCTTCTTACGTGCGTCAGTCTGCTATCGATCTACATCGCTGTTCTCTGCATCGAGGCGGTATACTTCGCTTTCACAAACCCTCTCTCTATCGTGCGTCTCTCGTTGAACATCCTGCCGTGCTACTCTACTCACTGCTTTGTAGGATGAAAACACACCTCTGCACGACATATACCTCGCATTCTACGGAATCGTTATGGCCCTCGTTTTTGGTTCTTTTTGGATATATCATCTATACCTTACGACGTGAGTGTGCTTTCTTTTGCCACAGAACTGATCATGCATATCATATCTCCTTTTGTGAACGCAGAACCAACCAAACAACCCTAGAACACCTCTCTCCCTTCCTTCTCCTCCGCCACCTCCCACCACTACCACCTCCAATTAGCGGAGTGAAAGGTCTCTCCAACCCACCACAAGAGTTTGAGCTCTCATACCCGCAACGGCGCCTGGTGCGCGACGCGCACCATCACGTCCGTCTGTACGACGTCGGCTGGCGGAAGAATTGGGGACAGGTGATGGGGTGGGATCGGCCGTGGGGCTGGATGTACCGCTTACTAGTAGGCGGCGGAGGGTACGTTTATGTAACTGGTCTTCGATTACGGTAAACTTATCTCAAGTTGTTCCCGTCAATCTTATAGGAAAGGAGATGGGAAGTCGTTTCCGCGCAATCCGCGCGCGGAAGGGATGCTCGCGCGCCTGGCAGCCGAGCTAGTTTCTGCGGACAAAGACTGATGGATTTAGATCGTAATCGCTGTCTGTTTGCTCTCGGCTCTCGATGTTGTGGAACAGATAATGGGTGTTCGGGTGACTATCGCATGTTCTGATTTCATCATACATACCTCGACTAACCTGAAGGTGGACTTACAGTAATGACTGCAGATGTGATGCCATTTATCATATTGAACTGTTCTTCTTTGACTTTCCCCTGCTGCAGCATCTTACTATCATTTCTGAGTCAACCACGAGCAAGTTATTGCCCAGGAAAGGTGCACAATGTGCCTTTTTCAAGCCTTTCCCCAAAGTCATTCACTTGATGGGAGATGTAATGGCAAATGATGATTTTTCAATGAACCTTTCAAGCAATCTTCTGAGTACTGTCCTGACCCTCACTTCACTATAGCATAGCTGCATCACTACCTCAGTGTATCAATCCTCTATGGCTAGAGCATATGTGTTAATATCGAGCTTCTGGAGCCTGCCTAAGAGCGCATTTGGACGAAATCGACAGCTCGGAGTCGGGAGATGTGGCGGAAGATCGCTCGGAAGATTGATTGGCAGGAAGGACGGGTCAGAAAAAGTGACCGGCATTACGTTTACGTTTCAGGACTGCTGTAACTTATCAACCAATGGAATTGGTGACTTCGTGACAATTAGCATGAAAAGGTACCTCGTCCTCAGCTCGCAGCAATGCTGCGCAACTGGCCTTTCGCGAAAGAGGCTTACTCGGTCGTCTTCGTAAGAAAGCGACACAAATCATCCGTGTGTGAACGAGAAGCCCCGCGAGTGACTCCGCCGGAGGTTTTGATTGGAAATGCAAAGCTTGATTTGCGATAGGTCATTTCCAACTCGGATTCTGGACGAGTGAAAGCGCCGTTCTGCCGGAACCGAATGAACGCAGGAACACTGATGGCGAGTCCAGGTTGCGACGGTCAGTCACCGACGCGGATAAGTACTCATCGCAAGTGGTTTGCTACCCGGGTGAGGCAAAGAAGCAGACACGTTCGTTAGGACAACGCCAACGTGTCTGCACCCGGCGTCGTCTCGCGCCACGCTCCATGTTTCGCAGCGACATCTGGGGTTAGAAGGTAGGATAGAATGGGAAGCTAATTACGTTGAAGCGTCCCCTGCATCACAGGCTGAACGGAGCTGGCGCAGCGATGGACGGTCACCGGTACTCGTCCTGATGTCATAAGCGATGACATAAGCAGCGCATGCCCATTTGTGGTGATGCCCGGCGTCCCACATTCGACGGCCTAGTTATATATTCAGCCCGTTTGTAACGCACCCGCTTTCGCTAGCTCTCATCAACATCCCGCTCCTGCTTTGAGCATCTGTAACGTTCCCCACTTGCCCGCCGATGGCCTCTGCACCATCTGTGCCTCCTGTCAACATCATCAACGTACGCGCTGCCAAAAATGCGACTAATGGCGAAGGTAGCATCCGTGACCAGATTATCGCGGGCCTGTCGCGCCCAGCAGGCCAAAAGTCTCTTTCAACGATGCTTTTGTATGACGAGCGTGGCTTGAGGCTGTACGACGACATTACCACCAAGGCTCCCGAATACTATCTGTTTCCCGCTGAGGAGCAGATCTTTAAACAACATGCGGACGACATTGCTGCTGCCATGCATGCGCGTGATGGCGGTAAGCTGAAGACGGAGGAGGCGATTGTCGAGCTCGGAGCAGGGTGAGTCCGCATATTCAGTCAAGCACCTGGTCGGGCGCAACGCACAGCCAGATCGTTGGATCTAGTATGGATCTGTAAATCCACGTGTCTACCACGGTGTACGCGATCACGTGACATGGTACTGATGTGCTCCCACAGATCCCTCAGGAAGACTTCTCACATCCTCCGTGCACTCGCAGAACTTGTACCACCCACTGTGGAGTCGCCGATAACCTACTATGCCCTCGACTTGCAAGAGAGCGAGCTCAAGAGGACGCTGGAGGAGCTCAATCGCTCAGAGATAGGAGCTATGATCAACGGCAAGGTCACTACGCAGGGGCTTTGCGCCACTTATGATGACGGACTCAACTTCATACAAGAGGGCGGGCTCGAAGATCGTGGCGACGTCGATCGCCTGTCCATCATGCTAATTGGAGCCCACAAGCCAAGCAGGGACACGTCTCCCAGCGCCACGTCCGATTTGTCCGGAAGAGACAGCGTGGAAGCGGATTCAACTCCGCCCTCGACTCCGGGCGCGCGGCAGCCCGTGCACTTGTTGTTCCTGGGCTCATCTCTCGGCAACTTTACTCGTGGGGAGGATGCTGCGTTCCTGCGGTCCTTGCCATTGAGACCCGATTCTGGTGATACACTATTATTGGGTTTGGATCATGACAATGACCCCAGCGAGATCGAGTTGGCGTACAACGATCCCAAGGGCATTACGAGAGAGTTCATAATGAATGGTTTACGATGCACAGGTAGAGCACTAGGCGACGAGAGCTTGTTCGATGAGAGTAAGTGGGAATATGTGGGGAAGTACAATGCGGACGAACGTAGGCTACCTGAGCCTCCGGTGTATGATGCTGAGCCTCACATACTGCACAGGGAGACATGAGGCCTATTACAAATCCATTTATGCTCAAAGTACCGTCGATCCCGCCACATCAGCGAGGTATGCGTACGAGAAAGACGAACTTGTCCGTATTGAAGTGTCATATAAGGTTCGTCCAATTATCCTGTGTATCATCATTCACTGCGTAACAGACATCGTCACAGTTTTCAGAACGCGATGCCTACACGTTGTTCACAAGGGCCAATTTGCGGCCCATTCACCGCTGGTTAGACAGCTCCTCGAGATACTCTTTGTGGTTGCTCGAGCGCCCACCCTTCATGTTCCCTTTGCTCTCACCATCTATCGGTGCTCCTGAGAAAGCTGCTCTGGTTCCTGCAAGCAAGTCATCTCAAACCCCCTTCGGCATGCCCACTCTAGATGACTGGCAGAACATGTGGGACGCATGGGACTTCATCACGCAGCGCATGATCCCGCCGTCAATGATGTTCCAGAAACCGATCGACTTACGGCACATCTGCTTGTTCTACCTGGGGCATATACCGACGTTTTTGTCCATTCATCTCTCGCGGCTGCTGCAGGAGCCTGATACTGAGCCCGTGAAGTTCAAGGTAAGGTGTTTCCTGGCGTGGAGATCCGGATTCAGCTGACTGAGAATGACAGTATATATTTGAAGTAAGGTTGACCAGAGAGCCTGGCTATGTTCCACCGCAGTTGTAGAGCGACTAACGTATGTCTTAGCGAGGTATTGATCCCAATGTAGATGATCCGACCCAGTGCCATGTGAGTCCCGCTACGCTACTGCGTCATGACGTTCGCTAACGTAGAGTCTCCGCCAGCCCCACTCGGAAGTGCCACAGCGCGATGAAGAATGGCCATCACTTCCGAGCATTCTATCCTATCAGTATAGCGTGCGAGAGCGGGTTCGCAAGCTGTATCGCGACATCGAGGCTGGCACTGTGAAGCTGACAAGGAAGATAGCACGGGTGCTCTTCATGACCCTTGAACACGAGGCGTTTCACGCCGAGGTAGGTCGCTCAGTTCATGTTTCAGCCCCACTATTGCGGGTATCTGATTTATATTCGTAGACCCTACTTTATATGCTTCTGCAACGCGCAGGCACAGGAACTATACCTCCTTCCGGCTTCAGCCCGCCGATGTGGTCGATCCTGGCTGAGTCATGGGATCATATCCTGCCACCCAAGTCCTCCACGGTGACGCTCGGGCCAGCGACTATTACTCTGGGCCATGATGACGACGAGGCCGAAGACTCGTCTACGGAGGTCGCTGGGCACGCTTTCGGCTGGGACAACGAGCGTCCAAAGCGAAACGTCCAGGTCGGCAAGTTCAAGATTGAATGGAGGCCTGTGACGAATGGGGAGTTCTTCGACTTTTACAGTGCAAAGGGGAGAGGCTTGGTCAGCCTTCCTGCGAGCTGGATCGAAATCGATGGAGAGATTTTCGTACGTGATCCTTGCCTAACATGTCACTATGATGTTAATATTTCGCGCGTCTTAGGTCCGCACATTGTACGGGCCGATTTCAATGAAAATCGCTAGGGATTGGCCAATCGTCACTTCCTACGACAATTTGTCGACTTATGCCCGCGTCAAGGGCGGCCGCATTCCAACCGAGCCGGAGCTGCGACTGTTCCTTGACATGTTTGAGTGCGGTTACGAAGGAGGCGCTAACATAGGATTCCGTAACTGGCACCCTGTACCGTAAGCATCTCCGTTCGTCAGCGGCTGTGCTGTCGCTAAGGTGCTTGGTATGCAGGGCTACGATGGGAGGGGAGAAGAGCGGTGGAAAGGGACACAATGGGGGCGTGTGGGAGTGGACGTCGACTGTGTTTGAGAAGCACGACGGATTTGTTCCGTCGCCGCTATACCCTGGGTAAGTGCGTTTCTCCCGACACTGCGGGTATAAATCTGATATATTCTCTACAGCTATTCCCTCGATTTCTTCGACGGCTGTCACCAGGTTGTGGTAAGTGGGCTTTGCTCTCAGTGTGAGCTGGAATTCATGTGTCGTATCGCAGATTGGAGGGTCCTATGCGACCATTCCTCGACTTGCCGAACGGCGCACGGTGAGGAATTACTACCAGCATAACTATCCGTATGCATGGGTCGGCGCTCGAATTGCGTACGATGTCTGATGGATACATGCATGAAACCTGCATCTGTACTTGTAGTATCGAATGAATTAAAGCGATTGTATGGAAGATTTGGAACGCCTTGCGAGGCTGAAGAGTTTCAGAGCATCGATGAGTATAAGCACTGTATCGCGAGCGATACTACATATGATCCCGTCTCGTACATATTCCTATACGATGTCTAGCTATCAACACATTAGGCCTATATTTATTTGATCTTCACCTTTTTCGTGACAAATCCTTTTTGAACCCGGTTAAGTTCCTATCCCAAAATGGGGATATAAAGGAAATCACTAAACCGAATTTATGAACAAAAATTGCAATTGCGGAATGAAAAATGTCTCCTTCGCTTCTTATAACCCTCTATGCTTTGGAAAGTGGCTTCACACTTGCTGCGAGCCGAAGAATCTTCTGTCTTCCGCGGGTCCGAATTAACACCTCCGTGCTCAAAACATGGTGAAGATAGCTGCTCTGAAGGGCATTTCTCGCACGCCAAAGTCTCCCAGAAGAGAAATTCGCGAAGAGAAAAAGCGCAGCCATGCATGGATGAATGTCTCTGATGACGACCTGGAAGTCAAGAAGGGTTCGAGGGTCCAAAATAGTTCCTTGAAAAACGCGCAGAGCACACCGCGAAAGCCTTCGTTTGAGACGAGGAAGAAAGCGCGGGTCGACACTCCAGGAAAGAATCATGCAAGCGGGACCAAGGCTGCACTCATAATGGAGCAGAGGAAGGATCTTCCAATTGCATCAGGTACGACTAGTTGCGTGTCATTTGTCCGCGCGCAGATCCGCTTATGAGTGGGATGGCAGGCAAGGAGGCGTTAGTCGAGGTAATCCTTGAACATGATGTTACAATCCTTATCGGCGAGACGGGCTCGGGAAAGACGACGCGTAAGTCACTTTCACTGTACATCAGGAAGTAGGTCAAATCCAGAATCATAGAGGTTCCGCAATACTTGCTCGAGTCCGGTATCGCCGGCCAAGGCATGATAGCTGTCACTCAGCCTCGAAAAGTCGCTGCAACGTCGCTGGCAGCACGGGTTGCAGCTGAACAGAACGGTTCTGTCGGTGGTGTCGTTGGCTACTCAGTACGCTTCAACGAGGCGTCGTCCGACCAGACGCGCATCAAGTATGTCACCGATGGCATGCTCGTACGCGAGCTGCTCGGAGACCCGCTGCTATCGCGTTATAGCGTAATCATAATAGACGAAGCACATGAGCGTACGCTGCGTACCGATCTGCTCATCACGAATCTGAAGTCCATCCAGAAAAAGAGGAACAGTCCGTCTGATGCGAAGGGGAAGGGTTCGGCGGCGAAGATGAACCCGCTCAAGATTGTGATTATGAGTGCTACCCTAGACGCGGAGAAGTTCAGCAGATTCTATGACAAGTGAGTCCGATCGTTTCCCTACCCCAGAAAGCATGCTAATGGCCGGCGTTCATTAGTGCGAAGATTGTTTACGTGAAGGGCCGACAACATCCTGTTACGATCTTTCACACCTCTGCTGGTCAGCCGGATTACGTCGACTCGGCGCTCAGAACATTTTTCCAAATCCACACGGATCAGCCTTCGGGCGATGTCTTGATATTCCTTCCTGGTATGGCAAACATTCTACCCGAATCTTGAGTTATCAACTGACACACGTTCTAGGGCAGGAGGATATAGAGAGTTTGGAGAAGTCGATCAAAATATATGCTGATAGGTTGCCGAAAGACAGTCCAGGGGTACGTCCGCTTATCGTTTTACTTTGTGTACACTCCATATGTCTTGTTCTCTTTAGATCACAACATGTCCCATGTATGCGGCATTACCTCCAAACCAACAAGGAAGGATATTTACCCCAACACCGCCCAATACCCGAAAGTGCATATTGGCCACTAACATCGCGGAAACGTCTATTACGATACCCGGGATCAAATACGTTATTGACACGGGCAAGTGTAAGGAGAAACGATATATCGTCCGGGACGCAGGCTCTGGTGAGTCACGACTGTTTTTCGAAGATGTGACCAAGTTTGATATTTTGACAGGCTTTGATACTCTCCTTACGAAAGACATCACAAAGTCATCCGCAATGCAGCGAGCGGGTCGTGCCGGTCGCGAGGTCAGAATCCTGTACCGTTCGCGAGCCATTAATTGACCTTTCCGCACTGCTGGATAGGGTTCCGGATTTTGCTTCCGATTGTACACGGAAGAAGCGTTCAATGCTATGCCCGATTCTGCTGAGCCAGAGATCCGTCGATGTGCACTGGCGTCCAGTCTGCTTCAGCTCAAATGTCTCGGGCAAGACCTCGAAGAATTAGACTTCATGGACGAGCCTGATGCGGGAGCCAGTGAGTCTACAGACGAACATCAACTAAGCAATGAATGTTACTGAGATCAGAGTAGTCGCCGCGGCGCTCAAGAGCCTGTATTTGTTGGGTGCGCTCGACAGCAAGAAACGCCTGACGCAGTTGGGCAGAGCTATGGCAGTCCTTCCCCTCGAGCCCAACCTCGCGCGCGCCATCGTCGCATCACGCGAGCTGGGCTGTACGCTCGAAGTCATTGATATCGTTTCCGTCCTCTCGGCGTCATCTAAACCTTTCTTCGACTCTGTGGGCGACCGCGAAGCCGGGCTCGAAGCGCGACAGAAGTTCCGCCATCGCAGTGGCGATCACATGACAATCCTGAACGTCGTGCGCGCGTACCAGGAGATTGCCAAGGCTGAGAGCAAGAATGGTCGGCGGAAGTGGTGTCAGAAGCAGTTTCTGAATGAGCGGTGCCTGCTTGAGGCGCAGGATGTCAAGAACCAGCTGAGGGAGGTGTGTGCGCGGATGGGGATTGATTGGAAGGTGTCATGTGGGGATCAGGAACAGAATGTGCTGAAGAGCCTGGTACGCGGGCTTGTGCAGCATGCGGCGTTCTTGCAGCCGGATGGCTCATATAAACAGCTGATGGGTCCTTCGGTAAGTCGCATTGGTCGAGCGTTTCAGGCACCATTCGCTGATCGAGTTCGCAGATTGTCAAGATTCATCCATCGTCTTCGCTATGCGACAAAAAGGTACCGGCGATAATATTCGATGAATTGGTACGTGCGTCTATCGACGCGGTTGAATGATGCTGATGCCGTGCTGCGTAGGTATACACGAGCAATATTTATGCTCGCGGAGTGTCTGCTGTGCCCCGTAGCTATATTGCAGAGGTGCCGGTGTTAAATCAGAAAAGCGTATAGTGGTGTGGGCGCATATCTATACCCATGGAAGTCTGTCGGCTTTTGTTCATCCTTATTTTCACGTCTTACATCACATAGGTGTTTGCGACCATTCGCTTTTGGATCGTGCTTGCTGTGCCACCCTTTGTTGATGCTGTATCTACTTTGTGGAGTTACCCATGCTCATGCTAATTTTGACTACTTCATGGATATGACGTGACGGCGTGACCATGCGCGCGCGTCTGGAATCCAGCGTGACCTGGCGCGCGCTTGACGCGTCGCTGCATCCGCCTTCAATGTTCTTCTTGTCCTGACCTTGCACTATGAATGGCAACGTCTGGTATACTCCCCAAGCCGGCTCTTACTACGGGAACTACTCATCCCCTACTGCTTATGACCCTGCTCCTGGCGTAAATGACTCGGTGCAAGACGCGCACCGCCTCCTGGCTGTGTATCCATTCGCCTCTGCAACTCCTTCCACACATGGTCAGTTGCTCAGAATGACAAAGGCCGCATACATTCACGTATATTGATAGTGACGAGGCACCTCGGTAGTCTTACCGTTACTGCCCATCCTCCCTCTTATGTACAACCGTACTCATATGGCGGTGCGGCACCCACATACCACTTACCGGAGTCAACCGAGTATATGCATGAGCTGAACCATCTCGCCGCACCATCGATCCCAACCAACGACGGTGGATACTGGGAAAATGCAAGGAATGATGCGATTAGATATCTAGGCGAACAAAGGCCCTCAGTGAATTCTCTGCACACTCGTCCTGGTTATGCCTATGAGTCTAGCGCTAGCAACTATTACTATCAGAATGCGAGCCCTTGGCAACAGACATACCCTCTTCCATCCAGCTATCAGACTATACCTTTCGCACAGTCTGTGTTCCAATATACCTCTCCGTCGTCTTCCTATCCCACCCCGCCACCTCCGGGCATCCGATCGTCCTCCTCTTCGCTTGCCAATGCCCTGGGCGAGCCTGTACCAAAGCCAGCAAGGACGGTGTACCATCCCGAAGAGTCTGCACAGTTCTTCAACAATTTTCTCGCAGAGTCTTCTGCCCAGGCGTCTTCATCACAGCAGACTGCAGCTCCCGCCGTGCACCAGGATGTCAAGGCTTCTCCACGAAAGCTTGCTAGAATTGTTCAGAAAAGGGAGGACAGTCCTGATCCGTTGGCGTTTGATGTGTCTAGCCCTGAGATGCCTAATGTGACAGCAACGCCACGGAAACGCAAGCAGATGGCATATGTGGAAATTTCCTCTTCAAAGCGGCAGCATATGGAGCATACATCTATGTTTGGATACTCTGCCAGTGTGGATCCTTTTGCCTCGCAGTCTCAAAGCGCTTCTACGCCGAAGAAGAAGTTGCAGCCATACATTGACATTCCTGCCTTTCCAAAGCAGTATCTGACACCGACATCTCACAGACGCGATGGCTATCCATTAACAGGCGATGTGAAGGGTAAAGGCAGAGCTTCTGAAGGCGATGACCTAGGCGGATTCGGCTCGGACGAGGACAATTATTCAACGACTAGCGGGGCGTCGAGATCGACCACTTTCACGAGGTCTTCCGGAAAGCGTGCGACTGGTGACAGGGACGATCGAGGTTGGAGCGCCTTATAGTCTACTTTGATCATCCTGCTGACCGTTTCTCACCAGCCCCGATCGAGAAACTTATCACTCTGCTCGAAGATATCTTCGAGGCAGAGGACATGTTGCCTCCAGATGCCAGCATGCAGGATCTTCCATTGGAATGGTTCTCGGATCATACCGTCGATTGTTCGCACCCGCTGTTGCACCCATATATCGTTCGCAAGCTCATCAACCATGTGGCCAAAGTTGCACGCCCGAGCAAGCGGTCAAGAATGCCGAATCGGGACGCACAAGGCAGTGGAGGCAGTCCGCGTTCGAGAGGCAGAATGGCAGAGGTCGATACGGCCACCCTGTCCAGGATACTCAAGATTCTGGATAGAAGTATCAGAGCTGGCGAAAGTCTCGACCCGTTCGGCCTCGCGTCTAAGCAAAGCGGACGAAAGACATCCACAAAGCCTAACGGGAAAAAGAAGGTGCAAGGTGCTGACAGGCGCTCGGCTTCGGACACTCCGAAGCCCCCTGACGAAGGACAAGAATCTGAAGGGGAGACTGCTGGTGATGCTGAATCGGTCAAGGACGAGGAAGTCACTGAGGCCGATCTCGACAATCTCACCAAATTATTGGACATCGCAAGGGATAGCATCATTGCGGCGGAGTGTTGCATTGCTATCCTCGCCAGTGATAGGCTGACAAAGCAGGTACGTCGTTTATAAGTGGGCCCGACCCAGTGTCATATAATGTTTCATCGTAGTTGTACTCCGAGGAACTCATCACGACCTGCTTGAGTGCGATCAAGAACCAGCTCTCAAAAGTTGTGTATCCCTTTGTCGAGGCGTCAACTGACTCCCAGGGGCAATCGCTGCTTCTGCGACACGTCGTGGCTGCATCGTCCCGGGACAGTGTGCACCGCCAACAGGTTGCGGAGATATTCCAGGCTATCTCGTCTGTAACACCTCGCGTCACCGATCTAATTTGTGCGGACACGATGGCGATGTCCGAGACGATCATTATCCAGGCTGTCTATATCGCCATTGGGCCGTTCTTCGTGGTGGAGAATAGCGAGAACGAAGGTAAGGGGAAGAAGGACAGTGCGTTCTTAAATACGCTGGGTAGCAGTGCAATGAGAGGGCTGCGGCTGGATGCATTGTCTCTCATCCGAAGTGTAGGTCCTCCCTTGCTATTTATCCCACCCGTAGATTGTTTAAAATGGATTTTGCGAAGATATTCGCCAATCATGAAGATCAACGTGCTTGGATCATAGAAGAAATTCTCTCATCCTTGATCAAGCTCTCGGATACCAGGCAGAAAGCAGGACAATTTCGGTATGTACTTCCAGGGTTGAAGGATAACGTTACGTTGATTGATGGACGGTAGGCTTCGCGATGGCAGGTCAATTCGCACTGTGTCAGCATTGCTGCTGCAGCTTGTGCAGACATCTGCACACGACATTAATGCGGAGGCGCGTGTACTTCGCAAAGCTAGGCAACAGCTTTTGGCCATGCAGAAACACGAATCTCGCGATCAGAAAGGGCCCTTCCTCGATGAAAAAGATATGGAGGTACGCGACGGTCTATTTATTGCTCTTGGCGTATTGTACCATCACTATGCGCAGGAAATCCGATTGTATGCATCTGGTCTTGATTCTGCGACCAAAGCCGCGAAGACTATCATCATCTTCCTGACGCAGAGGTACCATTCATTTCGGTCTGCAATATCGTGTCTTCTGCTCATGTCTGAGCAGATCGGGTAAGACCAAGGTCACGAAGAATTCCAATGAGGCGGAATATCGCGCGATCTTCGACAATCTCATATCCGATCTGCTAGCCGTCCTGTTTTGGCCGGAATGGCCCGCTGCTAGTCTATTGCTCAGCATCGTTTGCAAATTTTTGGTGAGATTCACTTAGGCGTCGCGATAAACGAGAGCTCTTTCCCTTACATCAACCAGGTGTCGTCACTGGATGATGTGAAGACAACCAATCAAAACGACGGTAATGCAATGAAGATGATGGCACTGGACCATTTAGGAGTGATTGCAGCACGATTGCGGTCCACGATGCTTAAATTCCAGGACAACAGTGATGAAATTGCGACCAACAGGTTAAGACCGCTAGATGAGGTATTACTGTAGAACAGCTTGACGATGAACTGCGCTGACAATAGGCGCAGATCCTGGCGAATATAAGTATGAAACAATTCCAGAAGCTTGCGTCTGCTCATAACGATCTGGCATCCCACCTGTGCAAGCGATCGTCGGAAGATCAAGCATATGATGTACGCCCACACCGCTATAGATTACTGTATCAATTAACGTGTCTGGACAGAGCGCAAGAGAGCTTACAGCCGTTATCTGGGGCCAAGGATTGGCAGCCGCACTGCATCAATGTAGCAACATGCTCACTGACTCAGGCGAGGATCAATTTGACCCCAAGATCGACCGTAACAAGGTGCTGTCGTTCGGGTACAGAATGAAAGATGCACTTCGAGCAATCTGGGACGACCCATCTGCTGATGTGTTCGATGTCGGGTAGCTAGTCTATTCTGCGGCGACGTGAATTGTTCTCATAGTGCATATGACAGAAGTTCTTGTGATGAGGTATCGCGCGTAGATCGTCTCGCCGAGGAGATAGGGACCGTCCAGAGCTTCAAACACTCCTTCAACCCGATTCTCAACGTGGTATTGCAAGCCCTTGATGCTCCCCCGGTGTTCATGCGGACGAAGGCCTTGAAGGCTTTGGGACAGATCGTCACCAGTGATCCTAGCCTTCTCTCCATGGTAAGCTCATTACATCAGATACAGCGCGTTTTGCGTCTTCACAGCGACCTACAGCCGAATGTGCGGAGAGCGATCGAAAGCCACCTCCTGGACAGCTCATCCGCAGTTCGCGACGCGGCTGTCGAGTTAATAGGCAAATACATGATTGATTCTCCCGAGTTTGCCTCAGATTACTATCAAAAGATCGCTGAGCGTATCGCGGTGAGTGTTGAATGCGTATGGCTTACAGGTTTGTCTTATAATGGCGCCGCAGGACACGGGGCTGGGAGTTCGCAAACGTGTCATCAAGCTCCTGAGGACGATCTACGCTGCCACTGACGATAGGTCACGACGGATAGACATATGCACTCGCATTATTCTTCGCATGCTAGATGAGGACGAGACAGTCAAGGACTTGGCTGTCAAAACAATAGAGGAAATCTGGTTCTCAGGAGGAGGACAAGGACCTCAAAAGACGAGAACGGTATCAAGCACTCCTGGTGACAAGACACAGCTCCTGGCGAAGGTAGGAGTCATCATGGGTGTATCTAGCCACTTCAAGGATAGGCAGTCGCCACTGGAGGATCTCCTGCATCAAAACATAGTCAGCAAGGAGGGTGCAGAAGCTGCAGCAGTACATGATCGGTATACAGAGATCTGCGAAGCCCTGATCGACGGGCTCGTAGATGCGTCTGACCTGCCTGATTTTGTCAGTGACTTTCGGAACATTTCATTCTCTGTTCACTAACGAGTGCAACGATTATGCAGACGATCGTCAATTGTGTGCGGACGATACACCTTTTCACCGCTGCATATCCAGCGGTATTGTCTGGGTCTAACGCATCGACATTGCTGCCATATCTGAAGAACTCGACCACAGTGCGTGATCTTGGGATCTTGCAGGGTTAGCCCTGATAAAAGAATATCTTTTGTAGCCCGAGGAGCAAATCACGTCCGATTACCTGCTTAGAATTTTCCGCGCATCGATCCCTTACATGCCCAAGACTGCAGCCAAGTTCGGTCAAGACTTGCAATTGGCTCTGCAGCCTATGATCATCAAGCCATCCACTGCTTCCGGTCTACTTGTATGGACAATTTCATGACATTGTATGATAAATTGCTCAGCTTGTTTCTAGGGCTTGCAAGAGGCTGTTGCATGTATGTGCTCCATCGTTGAACATATCACCCATGACTTTGGACGCCTTGTTGCACTTTTACGGTCTTGCAATGGTGTGTCGGAAAGGTGTTATTGCTGGCACAATGATCAACTGTCCTTTCCAGCACGACTGCAGCAAGCTACAGCGAAGCCTGTATCGCAAGCTATGAGTAATCCCGAGCAACGGGCCTTGACCATCTTACTCTTCATTGTTTCGTTGCTTTGCGAACATTGCAACTTCGACCGCATCCGGTTGGAACGCGAGAGTGCGTTGACAGTTTTCTATTCTTTATGTTTTATTCACGTTATGCGCAGGTCTTCGTGCTGAAATTGACAGCATCACTAAGGTAGGCGATTTATTCTTGTCTATGAAAATTATCGACTTATCAGGCCGTGATAGGGCTCCATCTTCGAGCATGTCTATCGCAGTCTTCTTACGCTTTACGAGAAATATCAAAACCTCGGGCTGAGAGGACGGATCTTGCAGTGCTTAGGTGCAAGCGGTTCTCAAGTTCCTACTGCGCGTTCTAACACATCTTCTCAGGTTTCCTCTTTCGCGCGCAGCCTGCGCTCATGACGATGGATCGCTCAGCAAGCATCATGGACGGGATATTTGCATCACCAGAAGAGGAAGCGCGTGGCCCGCTCCTCAAAATTCTTCTAGATTTCCTTGTCTCTGAAGCGAGCAAGCATGCAGAGAAGGAGAAAAGTTTGCGATCATCCTGTATTATACCGTCGGCGCTACTGACAGATCGTTGCGTGCTCGCAGCCAGTGCCAAGAATAAGGGCGCAGGAAAGGTCAGCATGGACGAACTGGTAGGCAACACCGACGGGTTTGCAGAGTCGGGGTCAGTCATAGGTATTGAAAAAACTTCCCCGTCACTGATGTCTAATGTTCACACAGAGTCAGCTCTGCCGTAGTCCAACGCTACCTTAACCCTATCCTCCAGGCCGCTCTGTCCAAGAACATGCAGATCCAGTCCGCGGCCGTTGACATCCTCAACTTCACGATCAAGCAAGGATTAGCGCATCCACTGCAGGTATGACTCTGCTGCTAATAATATTGTTGACACTGCTGGCTCATGTGTCACAGTCCTTCCCGGTAATCGTTGCGCTGGAGACCAGTCCCAATACCTCCTTCAGTGCCCGTGCGAGTGCTTTGCACACAATCCTGCATAGCAAGCATACGTCCCTATTAAACGCCCGATACGTCATGAGCGCAAGAGCGTCGTTCGATTATCAGAAGCAGCTGGGATTAGGGGAGGTTCAAGGTAAATCTTAAGCCAGAGATGCTACCTCGTGCGTCCTCATCGGATGATCATCAGGATATCGAATGTCGCCGGGCCCGACTGCGTTACTGCAGAAGTGGTATTCTCTCGTCCGTGAGAAGCGCGCGACAAGGCAGGACTTCCTCAAAGCCCTCGTCAAGGTTTTCGACGTAGAACCCACCGCGAAGATGTCGCAGGTGAGCCTGCTATCCTCGTGCCGAATGTATAGACGTTAATAACATCTATCAAGGACGATGTCGCCTTCATTCGATATATGGCAGAAAACTTTGCAGCACTGGAGTATAAGACGCAGGAAGAAGTACTGACGGTGCTGAAATACCTCACAGCAGTATTGTCGACCACCGGAATGCAGCTGGTGGAGATGTTATCGCCTCAGCATCTGCTTGCACAGCTGCACGAACCGATGTCGCAAGCACAGCCTGGAGATCCTCCGATGATGGCCTCGCAAAATGACCAAGCTGCCTTCACTGCTGAGTTGTCAACCGCGGCCGAGGCAGTAGCATCTCAGTCTGCGATAATGACAGGTTTGTCCCTTCGTCAACATTCTGTGGCTGCTTATTTTACAAATCGCGCACAGTACCGTTGGAGGAGAAACTCCCGCTCATGCGAACGTCGGTCGTCGTCGCAATGATCATGCTGCTCAAGGCGCATCTGAAGGCGTTGTACGGCATCTCAGAAGAGTGCGTATCGTTGTGATCCGTGCGGCCGATGGCTAACAGTGTGGACACAGGAAATGCTCAAAGTGGGTGGTGGGGAAGAAGACTGCCGTGGGCGACAGACCGGCGACACGTCGGCACGAGAGGCCCATGCTTTGGGAGCGCTTGCCGTTCGCTACGGAGCCGTTGCTGACTAGTGCTGATGTCGAGTCTCAGCGGACAAGGGTGAGTGGGTCGTAGCATATTGCGTGAACATTGGCTGATCGGATGTGCCGTAGTTCTTGCAAATTTGGAATGAAGATGGTCTTACCGCTGAACCTGAGGATGAATTCGCGTGACGAGCTTAATCTGCTCATTTTTACCTTTTCTTGGTCTTGCTGATCCGTCATCATTGTCGTTGTCTTTCGTGCACTGTTGTCCGATACTCTGATCGTCTGTGAAGCCCCTCTATCATTATTGAAGCACGTTCTTGCCCTGGTATACAGTATGCCGCATTTGTACCGTATCATGCACGCAAACCCACAATGCTCTAATTTACAATCTTGCAGAAAGTATGCATGCGTCATGGACCAGTCTTCTCAGCGGATGCTGGCGGTGTGGGTTTTCTGAGCTCTCCGTCCTCGAAAATGACAGGACCCTTGGGCATCTCGCCAAGAGCCTTTATGGCGTGCTCGTCGAGGGCGGGTTCGTGTTCGAAGTTCCAGTCGAGCTCACCGCCATACACTCTGGGGAGGTCTTTTGCGTGGATCAGCGTGCGAAGGGTTGGGCCCGGGTCCTTACCGAGCACATGGACCTTGCGCTGGGTTCCCTCGTCGAAGCAGCCCTGAAACACGTCATATATACCTCCACAATCAACTTCAGCACATGGTAGTACACACCTTGACCCAGTTCCAGATGGTGGGGAAGAAAGACGGCGAGTTCACGACAGCGATCGTATTGAGCGTCTCGGGGTAGTTGGCGGTCGCGAGCGTAGAGGCCTCCTGTAGGTGCCCCCGGAGGGACCAAATCGCCGAGAGGGTGACGTCCTGGAGATCGATGATGGTCGTCACGGAGGAGACGGGCGTTGGCGCGGTCGCGTGCGGGAGGTGAGTGCACAGCGGGAGGATGAAGCGCGTCATCGTCTCATATAACGCCACTCTATGTGGGAGGTCATGATACACCAGTTCAGCGAACTCTTCATAAGACATACATTCGCTGGTATCGTCGCTCAGGCGGGATGGCGAAGAGCTCGGTCTTGTAGGGTGCGAGCGAGGCGAGTCGGTAGACGTACACGGGAAGGCCGTTCTGGATGCGCGAGCGCGGTCATCTGCACAGGCACGGTCGAAGAGCTAGGGCGGAACGCACCGTGGCACAGACGTACCTTGTCGCGGCGGCCAGTCCAGCGCGGGTAGAAGCGGCGTGCGTCCTCGAACTCGGTGGGGTCGAAGGCGGCGTAGAGAGCGTCGACGGCGTGCTGTGCGCGCCAGGCCTGTGCGTCCTGGAACTGCTTGAGCGCCTTGGGCGGGTCGAAGCGGCGCGCGCGCAGGAAGCGGCTGGAACGACAAGCAGGCGAATGGAACCGGGCGAGATGCAGGCAAATGGAAATGAGATATGTGAGAAATACAGATGTGGTGCAGTGGGGCCGTGCATACATACAGAAGAGTGGGCTCGTCATGCGAAGCATGGCTGTTGCCGCCCTCGGCCAGCGAGGGCGGAGTATAGAGACGCGCATCTTCTAGACTGCGCTTGAATACTGCAAATGCAGCCTGTTGGTCGGGCGAGAGATGGCCCAGATGGCCAGAGAGCACGTCTGGGGCGACGTGAACGGGAGACATGGGTGTGCGAGATGGTGGCTCGGAGTAAAGACCGCGGGAAACAGTAAGCGACGAGATCGGACGCGGGCAGTCCGAGCGGTCGATGTGGGAGAGTGGGTGTTAGAGCGGGTTCCGCGCAGGATGCATGGACGTTGGAGCATCAAACGAGCAAAACGAGCTCGCTCGGATAATGTGGAGGGGAGAATGTGGAGAAAGAGGAGCACGCAAAGCGCGGCTTGGTCGGCAGGTGTTGATTCGACATCCCGCCCACGGATTATCGCTCTCACACTCTCCTTCTCTTCCTCCCCGTCCACCATGCCTTACTCCGCCCCCACCCCCGCTGCAAACAAGGTCACCAAGCTGCGCTCGCTCTCGCCAGAGGTCAGGCCCAAGCCCGCCGCTAAGGCCTCCGTCTCCAAGCCTGTCCCCAAGGACGCCGCTTCTCGGCATGCTACTCCCGCCCCAGCCGCCGTTCCCGTCCCCGTCTCTGCTGTAGCGAGCTCACGCGAGCAGACTCCTGCGGTAGCTGTGGTAGCCAGCCCTGCACCAGAGGAGGAAGAGGTCACACCGCCTGAGCCTGAGATCGACGAGGTGCGCTGATCCGCTCTCCGTCTTGTCCGTCCACTGATCTCGCCGCTGCATGTTGTTCCCTCGCACAGGAGGAAGCCGCGCGGACGATCGATATGGAGACCTTCCACCAGATCCTCGATCTCGACGAGGACGACACCCACGATTTCTCAAAGGGCATGGCGTGGGCCTACTTCTCACAGGCCAATACCACATTTGTCGAGATGGACGAGGCATAGTGCGTCCGTCCCTGTGCCCTCGCCGTGGCCCATCTCTGTCCACACCTCTAATCTCATCTACGCAGCTCAGAGAAAGATCTCGAAAAGCTTTCGTCCCTCGGCCACTTCCTCAAGGGCTCCTCTGCTGCGCTCGGCGTCGCGAAGGTGCAGGCGTCCTGCGAGCAGATCCAGCACTACGGCCAGCTGCGCGACGAGGAAGCGGGCATTGATCTCACCGCCGCCGCCGCGCTTCAGAAGATCGCGCCAATACTCACCCGCGTCAAGGCAGAATACTCCGTTGCAGAGTCGTGGCTCAAGAAGTGGTATGAGGAGCACTGCGGGCCCGAAGAGGAAGAAGACGACGAATCGTGAGTGCCCGACGTTCTCGCACTCGCGCATCCTCGCATGGTCCTGGTGACGCGTGCGCTCACGGCGGAGGCCTCGGGATGAAGCGCGCCGAAGTTGGGAGGAAGGAAGCATTGCAGAAGATGGGCTGCGCATTGTACGCTACACGCTGTTGTATGCAGCGGACTCCCTCGTTCGCGCTAAATTATACTCTCGACACTCGTCGCACATACCATTTCCCTCTACGTCTATATCCTCCGTACCGTTCACATCAAGAGACATCGCAATACATTTGCTGACACCCAACCGTCATTCGCTCGATCGTAAATATGCATCAAGCATTGATCAACGTTGATGCACTGATCAGTGATCAAATCATTTCGGGGCACCGACCCGCTTCAGCTCATTTTCCACGCTCGCACGCCTTCCGCGCCCTCCGCGCCGCCAGCCAGACTCCAGACTTCCCTGGCGAGGGCGCGCTCTTCCTTGTTCATGAACAGCACGACCGTGCTGAACCGCGGGACGCGCGCAAGCCCTAGCATGTATTCCTGCACGCGCACCGCTGTGCTGGGATCCACACCGGACGAGAGGGCGTCGCGGAACACGTGAAGAAGCTCAGCTAGGAGCGATGGTTCGAGCGACGATTGGAATAATGATGGAAGAGCGGACGGCGGGATTTCCTGGGCCGATATGCGCGTATTAGAAGAGAGGTAGTCGATGCATAAGTGTCAGCTCACATTGATCAACGCCCATCGCTCGCTCGATGATTTCCAGCGATCCCATTGCTTCGTCAGATTCAACAGTGTCATCGGAGGCTTGATTGGTGTCACAATGCCGTTCGATTCGGCTGTCGTTATCGCCGCTACGGCTGGAGTAGATGAGGCGGTTGACGTGCTCGCAGAGGGAGGCGCCGCCGCAGGCTTGGTCGGTTGCGTATCCGGGACCGCTTGCGACGTGGAGACATTCGTCACCGGAGACGTAGGCGCTGCAGGTGGTTCGCCTTTCTTCTCACCGAATATCGTATGCTTGCCACCTGGCCTGAAGATTCCACCGCCGACGCCTGCCCGAGTCCCCGTACGCGCCTCCTTTGCCTCCTGAAACGTCTTGGGAGCGGGCTTCGGCGGTGGGGCTGCTGACGCCCTTTTTGCAGAGTCGGCGGAGGAGAGCGGGCGCGATGAGACCGGTGTGAGGAGATCGGCTGAGGAAGAGGTGAAACCTGGCTTGCTAGTGCTGAGCGCAGGCAGTATCGACGGAGATGGCTCGATGATTTCGATCGGGACACGTCTGCGCTTCCGTTTTGGCTGGGCTGAGTACGTGGAGGGTAACGCAGACGTGGAGGCAATTGGAGGAGTTGTCGCGCTAATGTCAATGGGTTGTCTCTGGCTCTGTAAGGCGCCCATTCTCGATCGAAGGAAAGACATAACATACCGGGCGAGATTTGCTCTGTATCTTCAGCGCCTCCTCTACCTTCTTCAATTCAGCTTTGGCGGAGTGGTTTGCAGGATCAAGCACCAGGGCCTTCTGGAAGTCTATGTATATATGCACTTGTCGTAAATGGAATTTCCGTAGATAGAGAGATCAGTATGAACGTACCATCCTGCGCCTCCCGCAGCTTCTGCAGCGCAACTTTCGCCTGTCCACGGCGGAACAACGCCTTGACATTGCGCGCATCGAGTCTCAGCACGGTGGAGCAGTCTCTCTCCGCGTCTTGGTTCCTGCGCCACGATTTACCAGACTTAGCCACTGATGCTGCTCGGAGCAGCGCACAGCTAGGGGCACGCACTTGCCTAGTTTCAGATACGCCGCGGCGCGGTTGAGCGGGAAGGTGGGATCGGACGAGTCCGCGACGATCGCGGCGGAGTAGTGTCCTACGGCTGTGGTGAAGTCGCCCGCTTTGAACGCGGCGTTGCCCTAGAGGCAGGGCCCGTGAGTGTGGATAAGAGAGGTGTTCCAGTATGAGCTGACCTTGTCTTTCTCTGCTTGAGCTTTTGTAGTGGACATGCTTCCGGACGAAGGAGGTCACAATGGCGGTTGTCTCCCACAAAAACCCAATAATTTGCCTCAGGAGATTGTAACAAAAATCGCGAAACGGTTACATTATCTCACTGTCTTTAAGATGGATGGTTTCAAAAATATTCGAAATACGTTTTTCAACTGCTATTCAAGAGATTATGAAAAGGGTTTTAAATTTTTCATGCAGGGTTTTCTAACAATTTCTTTGGACAAATGATTGAAATGATTTTGAAAGCCGCTTTCATCATCTTTTGCCACTCAAGCTAAAGAGATTGAATGAAATGTTTGGGAGTCTTCTCAAGTTCATTTGCCAAGAAATCTGGTTCGGGTTTCTGCATGCACTTTAAAGAGTAAGTTGAAGTTTGGTACTGCATGCCAGGTTACAAGCTGCCAGCACTGGCCCTAAAGTTGGAACATATTACAGGCACTTGTAGCTTGTAGCTTTTACCCCATCAGTTTGTACTCATTATATACTCAGATCACTGTCTACTCTGGGTTTATTGCCTTGCTCTAGGTATGTCCACAATGACTAGCATACTACTAAGCATAGCACCAATGGCTGTAGGCTACCACCAACACAGTGCTAGCTTCCGATGTAAGCAGTAGCATAGTTCTACCACAGTAGTAGCGTTCTAAGCTTCCCAAGCTTATCTGACGGAATCACAGTTGGTGCTGCGTACGAAGATCTTGCAAAGATCGCCGATAAATATATTAATGTCGCTGCAGGGAAGTTGAATGCGGAGTGCCCAGCGAAGGCGATAGGCTCACGGGAGCAACAAGAGCCCATAGTGGCATCGTACATCTTGAATATTCAGATGCTCAACGTAGGAATGCTGTTGAGATAACATCGTGAAATCTGCTTTTTTCTCGCGTCTTTTGGGTGGCGCACTTAGTCATGAAGGTCGCCACAAAATGCTAATGCGCATCAATACGTCGAGGAGTAGCTGCGTCCTCTGCCTCAGCCGCGGTGCACAGTCTGACATCCGTACATATGTCTAGATGGTGAAGACATCCTGTCACGAGGGAGGGATCCATCCGCTATTTCTCGATTAACCGAGTTGACGGCTCCAAATGCACCTTCCGCTGACAATTCTGGAATATAGGCTTGTCATGAACTTCACGGCCGTATTCTCGAGCAATACTAGCAGTTAATACCTTAACATAAATTAGTTGAGTGTCGATGGAATTAAAAAGTGGTTTCAATCTTAGAATGAAAGTAATTGTTTGGAGCATGTCAAGGAAGTCGGAAGTCTGCAGTCTTGGAATCCAAACCATCTCTATTGCTCAGTAGTCTCATATGAGATGTTAGATGAGGGCTTATAGGGTCTGGATAGTTGAGACAAAGGCCTTCGGTCTGAGTCTGCGTAAACAAACCTTCAACGAGAAGGTCTGAGAGACAGCACTGAGTTTGATGCGCACAGTCGAAGGTCTTTGATCAGCAACACACTTTGGCAGCCAAGCGAGCAAGGCCTATGCACGTTTGGTGATATCTGGGATAATGTTCTGGTAAACGAAGGAGGAGGGTCACGGCCCTCAAGAAGAAAGACGCGTGCCACAAACAGCCACAGACGCGAAATGGGCGTTTGTTTGCACTTGTTAAGATCAGAAGCCTCCGCCTTCCTAAAAGCGGGTAGTCTCCACGCTTTCTCGCTGAAAAGCCCATGGCACTTTCCTTTGAGAGTGTATTGCGGCCTTCCTGAAGATTTCAATCTAACACTGTTATCAATACTGTTGCTTTTGAAATAATAAATCTACCGCGCGACATACTGACTGTGGCTCTCGTACAGTGTTTGTCTCGCATTGTGGCGTCAGTTCCCGGATCATGAGCGGCCGCTCGCTTCCCCCCCCCCCCCTAGAAAACGCACCTATCACTTAGCTACAACTTTTTTCCGTAACGCTGACATAATGAGAATTGCGATGTATTAGCTCTGGAGACAAGAATACGCTAGGTACACCCCAATTGCATTACGTCGAAGCGATTTGATCGCTTCCGTCGACGATGACTCCAAACGGCCGCTTCGAGTTCGCCGAAGCCCGTTACAACATTGCCTTCGCTATCCCAGACAGTCTTTGTGAGTGTCTCTGACCCGAGTAATTTCACTCAATGCTAATTACGATCATGAGAGTTGCTGTCATTACTGCTCACCGTATCCTCCCTTTTACGGTAAGCCCAACTTACGTACGAACCAATGAATGAGCATGGAAGTGCTTCGCACATTGCATATGGACATTTTCTATCAGTGAAATTGCATCATAGGAACTGATGGTTATTCTATATAGATGATCTCGAAGCTGCATTGTGATGACCGGCCGGACTGCATTTGTGAGTGTCATGCCTTCCATTGTGGCGTTAAACCGATATATCCAGCTATAAAAACCCATCAGAGCTCGAACATAAATTGACAGCGACATACGTGCAAGGCAAGAAAGAAACCACATTAGTAGAAGGCGAGCAAAATGAAGCTATTCCCGATTGTACATGATCGCCGACGGGTACATACGAGTGTCAGCCTTTCACCCGACTTCCATAGGGCGATTTGTCACGCACTCTTATGCTCGGGCCCTGGGTAATTCGAATGTCCGTTACTTGCTTCGAAGCCAAAAAGGGAGTCTTGCGACCGCATAAAGACTCCCCCAACGCCGTCATGCCCCTTAGTCCTCCCCGCACTCGATATCGTCTCAACCTACCTGCTCTCCATTCATGACTCATTGGCTTGTCGTTCAGCTCGTCGCATCCGCGGTCTTGCTGTTGCTGTGGAAGATATGGCGATCGAAGCACGTCTTGGACAACATTCCTGGCCCTCCGAGGCAGTCCTGGTTACACGGTGAGAGCAGGTCATATATCGGCCTGCTGTCAAGGATCATAACCGTACGTCGGGATTCAGGAAATGTGCTGCAATTTGCCACTCGCCATGCGTCAGATTTCCAGCGGCACGTCGCATTCGCCTACGGATCGGTAGTGAGGCTCCACGGTGTTATGGGCGTGAGTAAATCGGTTTTAATTCATCTTTCTGTGAAACTGACGGAGCAGTTCCTACCAGGCACCCATGTTGTATGTCTCGGACCCGAAGGCTCTGCACACTGTCATCATGAAGGATGAACATATATATCAGGAATCAGACACGTTCATTGTGTGCGTATAAAGAAGTTCGGCATCGTTTCATAGTCTCATGCCTGTGTTCAGGATGAACAACCTTATATTCGGTCCGGGACTATTGAGCAATTTCGGTGAGTATTCGTTGGTGTCCGTCGCGGAATACAATCCCGATGCTGGCGACTCCCAAGGTGAACACCACAGAAAGCAACGGAAAATGTTGAATCCCGTGTTCTCTGTCGCACATATGCGCGGCATGTTGCCTCTTTTCTACCGAGTTGTATACAAGGTACGCGTTGGCATGCTTCGCGTATATGACAGGCCATTTCACACCTGCGGGACAGCTGCGAGATGCCCTCCAGGTCCGAGTGGATGATGGTGCGGAGGAAGTCGACGTCCACAACTGGATGTCACGCGCCGTGCTTGAGACGCTCGGACAGGGCGGTCTCGGCTACTCGTTCGATCCGTTGATGGCAGATCCTAAGGACGATTACGGCGACGCTATCAAGTCGCTCAGGTGCATATCCGTTCTTCCGTGCTAACACCACCGGCAGCTTACCGTTATTATCAGCATGCACACGCAGGCTATACAGATGTGGCAACGCATTGTTCCGTACCTGGTCCATCTAGGTCCTGCACGGCTCCGTGCTTGGCTTTTGGATAGACTGCCGGATCCGGACATCCGTGGCTTCAAGAAGGTGGTCGACACGATGGATAGGAGATCCAGAGAAATTTACCGAGAAAAACAAACCGCTTTCCATCAAGGCGACGAGACGCTCGTACAGCAGATCGGAGAAGGAAAAGACATCATGAGCATTCTGAGTCAGTTTTGGCATTGCTTCAAATAGCTTGCTTGCTAATGTTTACATAGTGAGGGCAAACATGACTGCAAACGAGAACGATGAATTGTCCGAATCGGAGCTCATTGCACAGATGTCGTAAGTCCTCAGCATGCCTCTGTCTGCTGCCCTGCGTGACGATAAACTACGCATGATAGGACAATCATATATGCAGGCGCGGATACGACGTCCAACGCTATAACTCGTATGCTACATCTGCTAGCAGAGAATCCAGACGTGCAAGACAAGGTCCGTGAAGAGGTCCTGGCTGCTGGTGCTGCTAAGGGTATCTCATACGATGGTCTGATCCGCCTACCGTATCTCGATGCCGTAATCCGGGAGAGTTTGCGCCTGTGAGTCGCAAATCGTTTGCACCACTGTTCCATATTGAAACGGGTTATTGGCCAGCTATCCGCCCGCCACGCTCCTCTCACGCGTGTAAGTCACGAGAGCTGTCACCTACATTGTCTGCAGGAATATTGAAGATTATTCCCGCTCCTACTACAGGCCCAACCAAGATGCCATTCTTCCTCTATCGGAACCCATTGTCGGGAAGGATGGCAAGATCATGAGCGAGATACCCATTCCGAAGGGTACAGAGATCATCGTCGGTGTGCTGGGCTCAAACGCTAGCAAGGCTTTGTGGGGCGAGGATTCCCTCGAGTGGAAGCCGCAACGTTGGCTCTCGGGGCCCCCCAAAGGCGTCGCTGATGCTGGCATACCTGGCGCATATTCGCACCTGTACGTCGAATGAGCCTTTGGGATGTGGGCTTTCTATTGACATCGGTCTGTAGGTTGACATTCATGGGAGGAAAACGGGCTTGCATGTGCGTGTCTACCTCTTTCTTGTTTTGAGTTCGTCTCAATCTCGCTCTTCTCGCGTAGCGGCTTCAAGTTTGCAGAAATCGAAATGAGTACGTGTTCTGCGGTTTTCGAATTCTTGTGATGCTGATGTACGCACGCCTACAGAGGTTCTACTGTCGGTCTTGCTTTCGACATTTGTACTCGAACCGACCGGAAAGCCTATTGAATGGAACATGTCGAGTATCTACTATCCGACCGTAGGGAAAGAGAGTAACAAGCCATCTTTGCCGTTGAAGATACGCTTTTACAAGGATGTCACTGCGTAGGTGCTCTGCGTGTGTACCTACAACTTGTAAGGCTAGGCGGATGTATTGAATCCTTATAGAGACCGGTCATGACGGGTCACGTTGCGTCGTAGCGAGTCAGACAACCGGTTCAGTCCTGTAAATATGATGTTGTTTCTTATAGCGAGAGCACTATAATGAATATCTCCAGAGTCCAGAAAGTCCAGAAACTGAGGGCACTTCCCCGGCGAGGAGGCATGAAAATTCCCCGAGCCTTGTGCCACAATGGGCTCAAATTCATGGCAGACCCAGCTCAATGCTGTTCAATAGTGAGAAACATCCATATTTGCAATGTGCCATGCAATACGCGAAGTGATTCAAAGCATGTTGTCTGTAAAAGAAAGCTGAGGGGGCCAACAGGAAGCGAGAAGTCACCGGAGTCGGAGCTCACCGCATGTCGCGGGGTCTAGCGTTCGAGCCCTCAGGCTCTCAATGTGTATGTGCAACCGAAAGTCATCGATCGGCAGATTACGGTTAACGTTCATCGTCGCTGTGATGGAGACGGCCTCAAACGCAGCCCATCATACTGATAATACTATATTACAATCGCTAGCAGACAATTCGTACGTTCAAAATGTTCTTCGTGACTTTGGAAGATCTCGACGGCATGTTCTCGCATTTGTGCGCGAACTAGGACATCCGACGCTGGTACAAAACCATACTGACTCGGCAAGTTGCAGGATGGCTTCAATTGAGGCAAGCGAGTTTGCATGTGAGTGGCACGATCTTCTATCCAAGGGCTTGTGCTGAATCGTTCTCGCCCAAACAACCGCTGTAAATTATCTGAGGACGAAATGAGTCTTATCCCAGGACCGTTGGACAGGCTGACAAATATTCATCTGCAGAACTGCCGTTGTCCGAGTGCTCTGTCAACATTCATAGTCAAATCGATGGGAAACCCCATTGGGTGGAACATATCAAGAGTGTGTTACTCAATCAGTGGGAGAGAGAACAGCGAGCCGTCCTTGCGGCTGAAGGTGCGAACAACACTGCAACATGAAGCCTGGCCACGGTGCTTCACGGAGACATTAGCTACACGGCGATGCGTACATCAGCAAAAAGTGTTTCGCTATGTAGCGCGCACCCAACGCCACATAGCGCCCATAGCTTCGGTAGCACGGTCACTGCTACAAGTGTAGCCCTCAGTAAGCCTATATTGAATATTGATTATATTAATCGTGCGATGTAGTCCTAAGTCGGACCAACTAGGGCGGCTTCATAGTCCATGTACACAACGTTCCCCTCTATTTATTCGGACTCATCACTAGAGTGTCTATGTACAAGGTAACACATGAGAATAAAATCATGGTGTCGAAGGTAGGGGTTTAGTAGAAACTGTTGACTTTCCTGGCCAGCTCGCTGCGCGGCCAGGAGTTCGGGAGTCGCCCGCTCTCTAGAAGATGGCTCCACGGGGCCAAACCGATGGCCCGTCCCATTGTAGCCGCGCCCTATTATATACACGCGCGCTACTACTCTCCCACGCCGGTGGCGCAGGTCGCACCGGGCCTCTCGCATCTGCGCTCCGTGCCCAGATTCCAACAGAAACTTCTTTGCCCTCTCAAGAACATTGTCAGAGCTCCATTGACGGTCCATTTCAGAGCCCCAGACTGGAATCAAGTGACAAGTACGTACAATTTCTGTAATGGGAATCATGGCAGCATACCTGTAGTGTTGCCGCATTGAGTGTGATATTATATACATACCAGTCACTGTATCCTTTGCATGAAAAGGAGTAAACCATTCGACGTAAGCCAGCGGGGACGTTATCAACCCATCTGGTGGGTTTCCATGTCATAAGCGGCCTGGAAGCTCAAAGATCGCACGCACTCTGGCAGCACGTAGGTCTAATCAATTATCGATTCATTGTTAGTGTGACAGTAGAGTTTATAATGTGTTTATTGTTGACTTTCCCAGCCAGCCTGCTGCGCAGCCAGGAGTTTGGGAGTCGCCCGCTCTCTAGAAGGTGGCTCCACGGGGCCAAACCGATGGCCCGTCCCATTGTAGCCGCACCCTATTATATACATGTGCGCTACTACTCTCCCACGCCAGTGGCGCAGGTTGCACCGGGGCCTCTCACATCTGTGCTCCATGCCCAGATTCCAACATTTATTACATACTGCGAAGAGGGTGACCATCATTGAGCTGCTGACTGGAACCATTGGCAGTCTGCCCAACAAGAACTGTCGAAAAATGCTCAGCGACTTCGGTTTTGAGTCCCTGAGCCGGCTATATCAGCTTGGCAGTAATTGTGTCATAAAATTCGCACCTACTGACTTGTCGTAATTGTGGCAACCTGCACTTAAACTGCCTGTAAACTGAAAACTGGGTAGAATCATCGAAGGGTCACAATTTAGGAATTGGGGTCTCAGGCTTGGAGGTCGCAAGCTGGCACAGAAATTGATCAATATAATATCCTAAAAATGCAACCCTGAAGTCGTGCTCAAGTGTCGAAACTGATACACTTGGAAAGGTGGGATGTTTAGCAGTCAAGCAGGGTGCCGCCTTGTCAAAAATATCTTGAAGCAGAGGCTCTAGTCCATCCTCCTCTGGCTCTGGCAGATTAGGATCATCCGTGTCATGAGCATTGGAAGCAGAGTCGATCATGGAGAGGTAAGCAGGTGTGATTGGAATGCCAGCATCCTTGGCCTTTGCCCATTGCTGGAAGGAGTCAAATCGCAAAGTTGCTTCTTGGCGGTCAAGCCACTTGCACATTTGCGTAGTGTAATTCGCATTTTTATTACTTGCACCATATGCCACCTTTGCGAAATCGATATGCAGCCTTTCGGAGCCTTCAGTACTATAGCCATCTGCAGTACCCTTTAATCTGATTGATTGGGGATAATGTTCGACAGCATGAAACTTCGGAATATTGAAATTGGCGCATGCACCTAGTGTTGACTTTCCTGGCCAGCCCACTGTGCAGCCAGGAGTTCGAGAGTTGCCCGCTCTCTAGAAGATGGCTTTACAGGGCCAAACTGATGGCTTGTCTCATTGTAGCTGTGCCCTATTATATACATGTGCACTACTACTCTCCCACGCTGGTGGTGCAGGTCGCACCGGGGCCTCTCGCATCTGTGCTCCGCACCCAGATTTCAACACCTAGCTGCACAAAAACATCCTTATTGTGATGAAATTCTTGCCATGCTTCCGTTAATAGAGTAAGCGACTCTTCAGAATGGATCTCGAAATGAGCATAATAGATGAAGTCAAGCACTGCGCGTACAGCACTGAGAACCTGGATGTCTTTTGTGCTGCCTGAGATTGCACCTAGGAATATTTTCTCCATATTTTTGTATTCGACTCCAGTCCATTGCATCACCAATGATATACCCTTCTTGAAATGCTTCAGATTGCCCTGCTTTGGCATTGATCTAAAGCATCGGTCAACTTCAGGTGCACCTCCCTTCATGCATTGTGTTGCCCAGTTGACGAGATGATCTTTAAATACACCTTTGTGTAATTGATGAAGAATATTCAGTGTTATGCACCTGAAAATATTGCAAAATGGAAGGTCGAGCCAAAAAGGTGTAATGGTGTGTAACCCCAGCTGATTGAACTCTGGCGGCTTTGCACCTTGGGCAGCTCTTCACAGTATCATAGAGATGTGTTCTGGATCCTTGAGCAGTGAGTGCAGTGGCTCCCCTCATCGATTGGGCTGAATGTTGCATGTTGGACAATAGTTTTCTTGGCAGGATGTTACGAGCATTGTTCTGGATGGTCGGCAATATACGCAGCAAGAATCGGAAAGACCTTCTGTATGAATCCATCTGTGCAATCCATCTCTACTCCATTATTCCCAGCTTCAATGAGTGATAGAAGGATGGATGCCATGCAAGCATGAAATAGCCGATATCCTTCCACTTGCCGGCATGATTTGGAGAAGCATTCGAGCTCAGAGACAGGGATGTGTCACGGTTTTACCTGACGAAGTCATTATAGGAACAAATGCTATTAAGGAGCATATCATTTTTTCATCATTTCTCGTCGCACAAGAAGTCACGT